GATAACGGTAGTGCTTATACAGTTGGAAGAATCAATGGCGATCATTGGTTTTTGTATTTGACGTCACCACAAGATGACATCATCTCCGAGAGTGATTCATCACAATTACGTCATCGTGCGGCCTCTTCAAGCACAGATTGTTCCTTAGACGTTAATATGGGAGATCAATGTGCAACTAACGATTTAGACGATCAGACAGTCGAAGTATTAATGACTGAACTAAGTCCAAAAATGATGAAGAAATTTTATTGTGAAAATATGGATAACGATTCAGGAACCGAAGGTGGTGCACGAGTAGACAGAGAAACAGGTTTGAAAAATCTTTATCCCTCGGCAAAATTGGACTCTTTTCTATTCAAACCTTGTGGATATTCTGCGAACGGATTGCTTGAAGATAGCTATTTCACTATCCATGTTACTCCGGAACTGAATTGTTCTTATGCATCGTTCGAAACCAACATCCCGTTAGCACATGGAACCATTTCTGAGATCATTCACCAGCTGATAGCTATTTTTGAACCCGGTAAATTTATTGTGACCGTTTTTAAAACTCAAGGATATAATGTTGACAAGAAGCATCTTGTCAATTCTTTGAGTAATGTTACAGGTTATGTTCGTAAAGACAGGATCCTTTACGATTTTGATGGTTATGATTTGGTTTTTGGACATTTTGAAAAACGGAATAAATGATGCTCCTCAAAAAAAACCTCTAACATTTCACGTGTTTGGCAAGGATTCGTGGTAGAAAGTTATATAACTTTTCAGTCAATAAATTATTTACAGTCAAAAGTCATTTCATTACTATATGTTACATATTTTTTAATTTAGATATGTTAACTTGAAAAAAGTTGCTTCTAAAATTTCTCATATTACACGATAAGTTGGTTTTGTTTAAACCCTTAACTCAACATTAAATGCAACTGTACCCATTAAATAGTTTGAAATATCTCGTGACTTTGTGGTTTAGTTATGTTTATAAAAAAATCTTTTAGTAATTTTGAGAACTAGTTTTTAAAATAGGTTATTATAAATTATTTTAAAACTTGTTACGAAAATTATCAATAATATTTTTAGATAACAAAATTTTTATTATTTATATAGTTAAACCTTTATAATTGAATATATTTGCTATATATAAACTTTTTTAAACGTTTTAGCATAATTTCAAATACTATATATATATATATATATATAAAATATATATATAGCTGATATTTTAAATTTTATTAGTTTTAACAAAAAAATTCCAACCCAAAATTTTAAGAAGAATTTTTTTTGTTAGAATACAAAAAGCAGTTTCATAGTTAAAATTTTGAGCTACAAGTGATTTTTTAGAAATATCGCTGTTTT